GCAAGATTTTTTTTTTTTATCTTTTTCATCTTGATTATTTACAATTTAGAAGATTTTTTTCATGCATAATAAATTCTCACCATAAATAATATGTTGTACTGTAAAGCATAATTTTTACTGTAAGTATAATAGAGCGGCATCCATTCTCAGGATTATCAAATAATTTAAATTTATCCCATTAAGACATTTTTTACTATAATATGTTTACTGTATTTATATACTGAATTGTAAGCAGACTCTCCTACCACCATTATCTTGAATTGTATTGTAACTGTATTGTTTCTCTTTATTGTCTCTAAATGACTGCACAAACTGCTAGTGCTATATAAGTCCTGAAAAAAATAGTAGTAAGGGTAATAAAATACCAGAGACCTTAGTCAGAGGACCCAGAAAGTTGGGTCCATGGAGCAGCAGCAAACAGGTAGCTGAAACTTTGGAGAATATTTACTAAAATTGAAGCATGCAAAATCTAGTGCGGCTTTACATAGAAACCAATCAGCTTCCAGGTTTTGTTGTCAAGGTTTAATTGAAAAAGCTGAAGTTAGAAGCTGATTGGCTACCATGCACAGTTGCACTAGATTCTGAGTGTTCCAGTTTTAGTAAATTTCTCCCAATGTGTCATGGGTCAGTCAGTGCATACATTCTAAACACAGTTCACCACATTTTCCAGCATGCATTGTCACTGTGCGTCAGAAAGGGGAGAGGATTGTTTGGGGGCCTACAGTACATCTGCTATGTGTGGGAATATTTAACAGCACTGCACATTCACTGGCCATTCTCCAGGCCACTGTCCGCAGAAATGAGCCCAGTGTGTGGATTTACTGCAGGTTAAGTCCAGTATAGCAATAATAGTGCTCATTGAACAGCATCCTGCACAACAACCCACAGGACAAGGAAACTGCAGTGTTAAATATCCTGGGACAGTGTAACTGTGTAAGTTACATTTGCCTAGAGCAGTGGTCTCCAAACTGCGGTCTGCAGGCTGAATGCTGCCTTTTACTTGCCTTTATCCGGCCCTCAGAGCACAATTCCTTCTACTAACACCAGCAATGGGGCACCATTCCTCCCAATGACACCAATGATAGGGCACTATTCCTCCATTTATACCAACAATGGGACACTCTTACTGAACAGAGGTGCTATGTCTTTTTTTTTTTCACTCCCACTGATCATCAATTCAGTTGTTTACTGCCACTGACGCTGGGGCATTTTCTACTCCCAAGAACCACAGTCCTGCCCCCCTAATGTCTAAAGGACAATAAACCGGCCCTCTGTTTAGAAAGTTTGGAGACCCCTGGCTAGAGGAAGGATCATTTTAAGGAGTGCATTTATCTGTGAATGCAATGTGTATTGTGACTTTGTAGAGATTTTCAAGATTAATCGTAATAAAGTTGAACCTTCAGTATTCCACAGTTGATTAACGTTCATCTTTAATTATGAATTACATTACTATTTTAGGTAGGAATGGTTCTCCTAATCCTTACTCCATGTTAAAGTGGATCTGTCAGGTCTAATAATACACTCCTGCTATGTACGCCTTGACAAACCAGTATGTTTTTCTGTGACTGGCTATCCAGGTAAGAGCCTTGAAAATCGGTATTGCTATATGTAACCAGGGCATATTTCCCAACAAAATTGAATGACATATTTTGTAAGTTTGTTCTGTGGAAGTGATAGCAAATTCTTTCCTAGCTTGTGAAGAACTCTCACCAATAGATCTGTTTTAAAGGAAGCAAGAAGACTGATCATGCATGGTTTCATATTTGCCAGTAATGGGACCATAATGAGTCTGGGGCTAGTTTAGTCAGTCTTTTCTTGAAAATTATTTTCCCCACAATTAGTTCAGTGTTGATAGGCATGTCAGGTCAGTACATTATCCTTTTTAGTTTTTGATTTGTGGTGCAAAATGTGTTGATGTCCTCTTTAACTTTTCATTTCTGCAACTTTTTTTGGGATAACAGTTGTGTACCCTGAGAAATGGTAGTCAAAACACAATGGCCATAGTATGGGAAAGCTGTTATGTGCTTTTTTTTTTTATTGGGCCACTCTTTCTCATGCAGCTGCATAACCACTATGAATATATATGCATGTTTTATTGTGAAATTTGTAGCAGTTCAGGGTTTACTGTTCAAGTTGAGTAAATAATTAAATAATTGTATTAACATTATATTAACATATAAACCAATAAATAAATACAAGTAGAAAACACCATCTCTTCCCATTAACCCCCATTTCCCAACAAATGGGCTGAGCCTCATATAGGTTTGCAAGGTTACACAAGGGTTTTTCATCATTTTTGTGATAATAGACCTGTACAAAAAGCACTGTCACATTGATTTCTGCCGCTTGAATCCAGCACATTCTCATTCTAATGCTACATTTTTTTTTGTTTACTAGTGTGCATCATAAGGTAGCTAAATTTGTAATGTAAAATCTGCTCCACTGGTGATGTGCCCATTACTTGCTCTGTTGTCTAAATATTCTATGCACCTGACCTATTGATGAACTAAGAAAATATTGTTGCTGTATTGTCTCCCTTTATATTGTAAAGCTCTGAGCAAACTGTTGGTGCTATATAAATCCTGTATAATAATAATAAAAGTTGTCCCAAGCACTTATTGCCAGTTCACTGAGTCTAGAGGAACAGGATGTCCCTCCTTATACAGAAAGCCTATGTTCCACAAGAACACTAGTTTCCTCCCTTTGGGTGACCCTCTAATCACCTAGCAGGTAGATCCTGCTTTTAATGTCATGGTGTATGAGGAGGGAATTCATAGTTACATAGTTAGCAAAAAAAAAAGGAAATTCCCCCTCCCTTATGCCTTTTTTGCCCTAATACAGAAGTACAGTGTAAAGCTTTCTTATTAGGTGCTATCCTAATAAATATAGAGCTATGTACTTACTGATTTATGATATAACAGCAGTGAGTAAGAATTCGACAACAAGCTAACAACCAGTTGCCAACAACCAGATACATTACTTTCACTAAACACATCCCAATTAGAGATGAGCGAATCGAACTCGGCGAAGTGGAATTCGTTTCGAATTTTAGGAAAATTTCGATTCGCGACGAATCCCGTAATCTGCCATGGGCCCCTGTACCGCCTCCTCATGCTGCTGCCAGGTCCAGAGTCTCTCATGGGTCCCTGTACGGCCTCCCATTGCTGCTGTCTCCATCGTCACACTCTGCCATGTGCCACTTTCAGGTCTCCTCACACTGCTGGTGTGTTACATTTTTTGTCATAGGGTGCTGGCAGATTACGGGCCTCCCATTGCTGCTGCCAGGCCGTAATCTGCCATGGGCCCCCGTACCGACTCCTCATGCTGTGACGTTGCAACAAGGTGGAATTCAACCCTACATATGTTAGACCGCCTTTACGAACAGCGAAAGGCCATCACAGATTTCCTGATGTTACAAGCGGATAAAGGTACTCCCTGTGTAACTTAGATGTCAGCCATTGGCAGCTCATGCGTGACACCTGCCGCTTGCTCAGGCCCTTTGAAGAGGCCACGCTATTCGTGAGTCGGCAGGACTATGGGATGAACGACGTCATTCCTCTGTTGCACGTCCTGGAACAAATGCTGTTAATAATGGCTGGTCAGGGTGCGGTAGACGTGGCGCACAGATCTCAATGCCACATGACCCCTGTGGGGGCAGGACAGGAAGAAGAGGAGGAGGTAGAGGAGGACATTGGTGCTCAGGAATTATTGAGTGAAATGGGTGGTTTTTCCACTCAGCGGACAGGAGTGGAGGAGCAGGAGCATCTGGTAGAGGAGGAGGAGGAGGAGACAGAGGACCCAGACGCACCGTGGCAGTATGCTGTGGAGATGGAGGCAGGGAGTCCCTCGCATTCCTTGGCACAAATGGCCCATAGCATGCTCGGTTGCTTGCGTAGCGACAGCCGAATAATAACCATCAGACAGAGGGATGACTTTTGGCTGTCCACCTTGTTGGACCCTCGCTACCGTTCAAAAATGGTGGCCTTTTTCACACCTGCTGAGAGGGAGGCCAAAATAACGTACTATAAAAACCACCTATGTAGTCAGTTGGTCTCTGCCTTTGTGCGCCAACGTCCATCCTCAGACACTGTGGGCCCTGTGCGCTCGCGTTCCGCTGCCATGGCAGCAGGGGAGGGGTGGGGTGGTAGGAGCAGTGGCAGCTCCACCAGCAGCGGCTGCCTCAGTCTGCAGTCGATGATGAGTAGCTTTCTTCACCAGCGCAGTGAGGAAACTACTAACCAGCCGCAGCAGCAGCAGCATCAGGTGGACCTGGAGCAGGACCTCAAACAACAGGCTTGGGCCTACTTGGACAGCACCCTGCCAACCGAGGTAGACAATCCCCTTGACTACTGGGCAACGAAACTTGACCTTTGGCCCCAACTAGCTGAATTTGCCCTTGAAAGACTGTCATGCCCGGCCAGTAGCGTGGCATCGGAGCGCGTGTTTAGTGCGGCAGGAGGTATTGTAACTCCGCGGAGGACACGACTGTCCACCCAAAGTGTGGAGAGACTCACGTTTGTGAAAATGAATCAGGCGTGGATTAGTCTGGATTTCAAACCACCAGTTCCTGACACAACTGACTAAATCCGCCATGAATCATGCCCCAAACATGTGCCACTTTCAGGTCTCCTCACACTGCTGGTGGGTTCCATTTTGTCATAGGGTGCTGGCAGATTACGGGCCTCCCATTGCTGCTGCCAGGCCCGTAATCTGCCATGGGCCCCTGTACCGCCTCCTCATGCTGCTGCCAGGTCCAGAGTCTCTCATGGGTCCCTGTATGGCCTCCCATTGCTGCTGTCTCCATCGCCACACTCTGCCATGTGCCACTTTCAGGTCTCCTCACACTGCTGGTGTGTTCCATTTTGTCATAGGGTGCTGGCAGATTACGGGCCTCCCATTGCTGCTGCCAGGCCCGTAATCTGCCATGGGCCCCTGTACCACCTCCTAATGCTGCTGCCAGGTCCAGAGTTTGTCATGGGTCCCTGTACGGCCTCCCATTGCTGCTGTCTCCATCGCCACACTCTGCCATGTGCCACTTTCAGGTCTCCTCACACTGCTGGTGGGTTCCATTTTTGTCATAGGGTGCTGTATGGCCTCCCATTGCTGCTGCCTCCACCGCCGCACTGTGGCTCCACACTCTGGTTTTGGCCCCGTGACTGCCCAAATGAGTGAAGTGTGCGGTGATTCTAAGATCGACGGCACTCATCTGCATGTCATACTGACTGACAGTATTATTTCTCTTCCCCAGCAGACTCCAAGGGCATTTAAATTAAAGGTACAGTGTTCTGCACTAATATAAAGGCTCTCTGAAGCCTAGAAACACCCTTTTATAAGTTAAAATCGCAGCGAATATATTCGCATCGAATCAAATTTATTCCTCGAATTCGCCGAATCAGCCGAATCGAATTTTTGAATACTTCGCTCATCTCTAATCCCAATCACTAAAACATTTCAAAAAAGGTTATGAAGAGTATCAAAAATCCGCAGTGAACTTCTATTTTTATTCATTTTTTAAAAAAAGCTTTTGACAAGTTCCTATGTTTGTCTAGGAGTCTTTCTATAAAAGGTTTGGTGTGTCATAAACTAAACTTAATCTATAGAGTGAGCTACTAGCCCAGCAACCATCTCGCTTTGAATGCACCAAAATGAATGTGCAACATCAAATGCAACTGAAATAGCTGAAATTAGTAAGACCTGCTGAGAGAGGCTGATTTATAAATCTAGTGTAAATATACAGTATATGGTGCTGTTGCTCATTGCAGTCAGTCAGCTACCATGTTTCATTGTACCCAGCAAAGGTTAGAAAATTAAAACTTAATTACTTGCCATGATCAAGAGTCTTATTTTTAAATAACTTCAATTTTCATAAACCAGCCAAACTCAGTAGAAGAACCTGTGAAGAATATGAAAATATGTCATATCCAAAATATATATAAAATGTCAGAGCATTGCAATCTTTATTTCACAAAGATGTCAAGAATGTATCCTTATTGTTCTTGCAGAATTCCTACTTTTAGTATAACTTAAATATTAACTTGCTTAAACAAAAACTGGCTACATAAAATTAAAGTATACTACATTACCTCAGTAGCATACAGTATTTGACTCTTGAGTACATATGTAAGAAAATCTGCTGTGTAAACTCAGTCTACAATGTTAAAAAAAAGTCTAATTGCATGAGAGTTGTCATTCATAAATTCAGCTAAGAGATGGTGTTGAGTCATAAATCTAGTCTTTAGCGTGCTTTGTTCCAAGTATGGATAATTCCATGTTACTGATTGTCTAAGATAGACGAGTCAAGGAAAATGTTGTTAGATTAAATAACCCCCCTATTACCCTGCTTGTTATGTTGAAAAATATCCTTTACTCAAGGGAAAGCTGAACCGTTTCTTGTGGTCTCTGGCAGCGTTAGTTCTGGAAGCTGTTATCATCAATAAAGTGTAGTGTAAGTGGAAAATGTACTTGAGATGCCATTCAATGGGAACCTGGAATATCTATCAGCCGTTCAGAATTAATTCGCCGAACACAGGCTAGAGCAACACTTAAGCCACTTCCTCCCCGGGGAAGAAGCACTGTTTTAAACGAGATCTGGTGTATTTCATCACAATTTACAAAACATGATCATAATTCTTATTTTACAAGAGAACGAGCTGACTGGAGTACGTTTCCAAGTTATCCTGGAGCTATTGTATTTCACTTTACACATTAGCCTGCCAGGAAAAAAGTTCTATAATACAAAAACTCCTAAAAATCAAATGATTTATCACTGCGTTTAATAAATTAATGAAAGTGGTAGCCTTCTGCAAATTGCAAAAACCATAGTGGAAAGCCACCTACAGTATCTCACAGAAGTGAGTACACCCCTCACATTTTTATAAATATTTTATTCTATCTTTTCATGTGACAACACTGAAGAAATGACACTTTGCTACAATGTAAAGCAGTGAGTGTACAGCTTGTATAACTGTGTACATTTGCTGTCCCCTCAAAATAACTCAACACACAGCCATTAATGGCCAAACCACTGGCAACAAAAGTGAGTACACCCCTAAGTGAAAATGTCCAAACTGGGCCCAATTAGACATTTTTCCTCCCTCCCCGGTGTCATGGGATTCGTTAGTGTTACAAGGTCTCAGGTGTGAACAGGGAGCAGGTGTGTTAAATTTGGTGTTATCGTGCTCACTCTCTCATACTGGTCACTGGAAGTTCAATATGGCACCTCATGGCAAAGAACTCTTTGAGAATCTGAAAAAAAAGAATTGGTGCTCTACATAAAGATGGCCTAGGCTATAAGAAGATTGCCAAGACCCTGAAACTGAGCTGCAGCATGGTGGCCAAGACCATACAGCGGTTTAACAGGACAGGTTCCACTCAGAACAGGCCTTGCCATGGTCGACCAAAGAAGTTGAGTGCACGTGCTCAGCGTCATATCCAGAGGTTGCTTTTGGGAAATAGACATATGAGTGCTGCCAGCATTGCTGCAGAGGTTGAAGGGGTGTGGGGGGGGGGGGGGGAAGGGGGGTCAGCCTGTCAGTGCTCAGACCATATGCCGCACACTTCATCAAATTGGTCTGCATGGCTGTCATCCCAAAAGGAAGCCTCTTCTTAAGATGATGCACAAGAAAGCCCACAAACAGTTTGCTGAAGACAAGCAGACTAAGGACCTGGATTACTGGAACCATGTCCTGTGGCCTGATGAGACCAAGATAAACCTATTTGGTTCAGATGGTGTCAAGCGTATGTGGCGGCAACCAGGTGAGGAGAACAAAGACAAGTATGTCTTGCTTACAATCAAGCATGGTGGTGGCAGTGTCATGGTCTGAGGCTGCATGAGAGCTGCTGGCACTGGGGAGCTACAGTTCATTGAGGGAACCATGAATGACAACATGTACTGTGACATACTGAAGCAGAGCATGATCCCCTCCCTTCGGAGACTGGGCCACAGGGCAGTATTCCAACATGAGAACATAGTTACATAGTTAGTCTGGCTGAAAAAAGACAAAAGACCATCCAGTTCAACCATAGAAAAAAAAAGTTATATTCCTATACCCACAGTTGATCCACAGGAAGGCAAAAAAAAACCGAGCAAAGCATTTAAATGTATTTTCCTCCAGATGTAAAGAGTGCCCCCTTGTCCTCTGTGATGACCTCAAGGTGAATAGCTCTACACCGAGTTCACTATATAAACCACTGATATATTTATACAAGTTGATCATATCCCCCCTTAATGTCCTCTTCTCAAGAGAGAATAAATTCAGTTCCTCTAATCTTTCCTCATAGCTGATCTCCTCCATGCATCATATCAGTTTGGTTGCCCTTCTCTGTACTTTCTCAAGTTCCCCAATGTTCTTTTTGTGAATTGGTGCCCAAAACTGAACTGCATATTCCAGATGAGGTCTCTTACTAATGATTTGTACAGAGGTAATATGTTATGTCTCTCTCTGGAGTCTGTACCTCTTCTAATACAAGAGAGGATTTTGCTTTAGAAACCACAGCTTGGCATTACATGCCATTATTAAGCTTGTGATCTACCAGAACCCCCAGATCCTTCTCCACCATTGATTCCTCCAGTTGTACCCCTCCTAGTATGTATGATGCATGCATATTCTTATCCCCAAGTGCATAACCTTACATTAATCAACATTAAACCTCATTTGCCGTATAGTTGCTCAATTAAACAGTGCATTGAGGTCGGCTTGTAAGTTGAAGACATCCTATAAGGACGCTATTCCACTGCACAGCTTGGTGTCATCTGCAAAGACTGAAATTGTATTGTTAATCTCAGACCCTATATCGTGTATAAATATATTAAAAAGTAAGGGTCCCGACACTGAACCTTGGGGTACACCACTGATGACCCTAGACCATTCAGAGTATGAATCATTAACCACTACTCTTTGAATACGATCTTTTAGCCAGTTTTCTATCCATTTGCATACAGTTTTTTCCAAGCCCGTAGACTTTCCCTTACACATAAAAAGAAATCAGATTTGTTTGACAACTTCTGTGTTTCATGCATCCATGCTGTTTGTTGCTTAAAATATTTTTTTCTAGCAAGAACTCATCTAAGAATGACCCCAAACACACCTCCAAAACAACCACTGCCTTCCTAAAGAAGCTGAGGGTAAAGGTGATGGACGGGCCAAGCATGTCTCCAGACCTAAACCCTATTGAGCATCTGTGGGGCATCCTCAAATGGAAGGTTGAGGAGCGCAAGGTCTCTAACATCCACCAGCTCCGTGATATCATCATGGAGGAGTGGAAGAGGACTCCAGTGGCAACCTGTGAAGCTCTGGTGAACTCCATGCCCAAGAGGGTTAAGGCAGTGCTGTAAAATAATGGTGGCCGCACAAAATATTGACACTTTGGGCCCAATTTGGACATTTTCACTTAGGAGTGTACTCATTTTTGTTGCCAGCGGTTTTAGACATTAATGGCTGTGTGCTGAGTTATTTTGAGGGGACAGCAAACTTACACTGTTATACAAGCTGTACACTCACTACTTTACATTGTAGCAAAGTGTCATTTCTTCAGTGTTGTCACATGAAAAGATATAATAAAATATTCACAAAAATGTGAGGGGTGTACTCCTGTGAGATACTGTAATTATCCCTTAAGATCTGTTTTCTTATAATTGCCAATAACAGTAAATAGAAGTTTTAGGTTGAAAGCTGATAACATTTTTGGAATGACTGATTTTTTGGCACTATAAATACTTGAAATTTCTGACTTGGGAGAGGTAACTCTCCCAAAAAACATGAGCAAAAAATGTGAAAAACAATTACAGCTTTCAGTGAGCTTGACTAGGAGAGGGCTACATCATACAGGATGCTGGGAAAGCTGAAGGTCAGGCAGCTGGGTGCATCCTAACAATATTGGGCTGGCTCTTTGTCATCAGCCCACAGCAGTCTTTAGGCCACTGTTGTCTGATTCTGTGCCACAGGAGTGCAAAAGTAGGTGTATTCCTGTGACCAAGAATTAAAGTATGACCAAAAAAAGCTTTGGTCATACTTTCCTTTTAACTATAACTTTTATTTCACTGCTATTAGTTGACATTTACTGGCTGTTTTTTTTCCCCTTTAAATATCTTGTTTTCTTTAGATTTTTGGGCATAGTCAATGTGGAGGTCCAGCACCATAATAAGAACATAGTTCAGTAGACTATGTTCACACCACTTTTAGGCAATCCTTGAAAACCCTTCCTACCTCCACCTAACAACTGTACTTTTATTTTCTCCTTCAGCTCATCCCCCACAGTTTTTACATTTTGTGTCACTTGATCCCCCCCCCCCTTTAGATTGTAAGCTCTAACAAGCAAGGCTCTCTGGTTCCTTTTATATTAAATTGAATTGTAACTGCACTGTCTGCCCTCATGTTGTAAAGTACTGCACAAACTGTTGGTGCCATATAATTCCTGTATGATAATAATTAGAGATGAGCGAATCGAACTTGGCGAAGTGGAATTCGTTTCGAATATTAGGAAAAATTCGATTCGCACCGAATCCGAAAATTAGCAAACTTCGGATGCACGAATCGAATTTTTCACGATCGATCGCCGATTTTCATCCCTTCTACAGCCGGCAAAAAGTGTCCCTGCAGAGAGCTCCGCTATTTCTGAAAGTTCTCTGACAGTTCCTTCACATTTACAGCGGTTGAAACATTGTATCTATTTGTTTCCATTTAGGATACAGATGTTTTTATTCGGAAACAAATAGATACAATGTTTCAACCGCTGTAAATGTGAAGGAACTCTCAGAGAACTGTCAGAAATAGCGGAGAACTCTGCAGATACAATTTTTGCTGTACTGGAATTCTTCTTATTTTCATCCTACTTCTTCTTCTTCTTCTTCTTCTTCTTCTTCATCCTCATCCTCATCCTCTTCTTCTTCTTCTTCATCCTCATCCTCTTCTTCTTCTTCTTCTTTCATCCTCATCCTCTTCTTCATCCTCATTCTCTTCTTCTTCTTCTTCTTCATCCTCATCTTCTTCATCCTCATCTTCTTCTTCTTCTTCTTCTTCTTCATCTTCTTCTTCTTCTTCATCTCTCATCTTCTTCTTCTTCTTCTTCTTCTTCATCCTCATCTTCTTCTTCTTCCTCTTCATCTTCTTCTTCTTCTTCATCTTCTTCTTCTTCTTCTTCATCTTCTTCTTCTCTTCATCTTCTTCTTCTTCTTCTTCTTCTTCTTCTTCTTCATCTTCTTCTTCATCTTCTTCTTCTTCATCATCTTCTTCTTCATCATCTTCTTCTTCTTCTTCATCATCTTCTTCTTCATCATCTTCTTCTTCATCATCTTCTACTTCTTCATCATCTTCTACTTCTTCATCATCTTCTTCTTCTTCATCATCTTCTACTTCTTCATCATCTTCTACTTCTTCATCATCTTCTACTTCTTCATCATCTTCTTCTTCTTCATCATCTTCTTCTTCTTCATCATCTTCTTCTTCTTCTTCATCATCTTCTTCTTCTTCATCATCTTCTTCTTCTTCATCTTCTTCTTCTTCTTCTTCTTCTTCTTCTTCATCCTCATCTTCTTCTTCTTCATCCTCATCATCCTCATCCTCTTCTTCTTCATCCTCATCCTCCTCATCTTCTTCTTCATCATCTTCATCTTCTTCTTCTTCATCTTCTTCTTCTTCATCTTCTTCTTCATCATCTTCTTCTTCGTCATCATCTTCATCTTCTTCATCCTCATCTTCTTCTTCTTCATCCTCATCTTCTTCTTCTTCTTCTTCATCTTCCTCATCCTCCTCCTTCTTCTTCTCCTTCTTCTTCTTCATCTTCTTCTTCTTCATCTTCTTCTTCTTCATCATCCTCATCTTCTTCTTCATCCTCATCTTCTTCTTCTTCTTCTTCTTCATCATCTTCTTCTTCATCTTCCTCATCCTCCTTCTTCTTCTTCTTCTTCTTTCTTCTTCTTCTTCTTCATCTTCTTCTTCTTCATCTTCTTCGTCGTGCCCCGTGACTGCCCAAATGAGTGAAGTGTGCGGTGATTCTAAGATCGACGGCACTCATCTGCATGTCATACTGACTGACAGTATTATTTCTCTTCCCCAGCAGACTCCAAGGGCATTTAAATTAAAGGTACAGTGTTCTGCACTAATATAAAGGCTCTCTGAAGCCTAGAAACCCTTTTAATAAGTTAAATTCGCAGCGAATAAATTCGCATCGAATCGAATTTATTCCGCAAATTCGGCGAATCAGCCGAATCGAATTTTTGAATAATTCGCTCATCTCTAATAATAATAATAAAAAAAGTAGAAACCCTGGAACATGCATTAAAGCCTTCACTTATATAAAAAAATCAGGTCACAGGATCATTTTTTCTGCTGTTTGAATTGGTATTGTTTTATTGCAGTGCCATCACTGCAGCCTACAGGGACTATTGCAAGTTGCTGGTGGCAGACCAATAATACAAAAGGTATAGTACATTGATAGTTGCAATAGTTGTACAGATTTAGATTTGTACATATGAAAAACAAACTGCCTTTACACTGCAAATATTGTTGGAGTGTCAGCCTGATCAGAATATAATGAATGATTAAAGGAAAGCTATCATGAGAAAGATAAGAAGGTTGCCACTAATAACGTCTTCTTCTGAAAATGCTAGTTGTTTGATTGTTATACTGTTGTTTTGGCTGCAAGACTTTTTGCATTACCGACTCAGTATAGAGATTATGAATTCTGCCTTTGCTCTGCATTTCAATATCTGCATATTAGTTCTGGGTTAGTGACTCAGAAATATTCAAACTAGAAACACTCAGGCAAGTATCATTTTCAGCAGGAGGCCAGCAATGGCAGCATACATATGTATTTTTCAAGATGGGTAGACTTTAATGTTGTGATAAAGTACAGATAAATGTGTCAGCATTTATCAGTACCTAGAAAATACATGCCATTTGAAACAGGATTGAGAGATTTTATGTTAAACATGGATCAATCATTGCAAATAGTACAAGATATGGTATGGCCACTGAGTTCTAGAGACAGTGGTGAAAGCTCAAAAAACCCATCCATAAGCATGCATGCTTTAACCTGTAGATGGGTCCAATTGTGCATGAGGCGCCTGTGCACCCTTTTACCAGGACATGCCGAACACAGGGCTGACTCAGGTCTAGCACACAGGCCACAAACAGTCCACAGTCCTGTACTGTGTCTTAGACATGGAGTGCCCTGAACACCCACTCACCATACTCCTGGTTACCATAGCAATGATTCTTCTCTGGCTGTGGACACTTCTTGCATCTGGCCTGATGTCCTTCACGTCATTACAGGATAGAGCTCTACACCCCTATCCACCACCATCCCCTAGCCTTACCAGGTTTGCACTGAGTTGTTCCACTACAATCTATCTCCTAATGTGGCGTTTCTTTATGAAATGCAATCTAATATTGGTTTTACTGGGTGATATCTCACTTGACAGGATCAAAGGTACTCAGAATCTACTCCATACTCCATCTCAATTTTGTTGATGTAGTTCAAAGTCACAGTTTAATAAATTTGTTTATCTTCATCCAGCTCCTTTCTATGTGGTAGTGTACCTTCAGAGCCCACTAGTGGGGGTGACATCCCTACAGTAACAGAAAGAAGAAAGAATTTCACCTTCTTATCCCATCACTCTCTGTTGACTCTTTTCTTTCCACCAGGATTACTAAGCTCTGCCCTAAGCCTATATAAGTTCTTGCCAGGAAGAATATGAAATAATTTCTCTTTCTGGAAGGATTCAAAGAAAAACAGGGCAAAAAATTAACTATTGCCTACAAACATAATGGGGTTGATGTATTAATGGCAAACAGGCTGTTCACTTAACAAGGGAATTTTTCCTTAGCTTAGTAAATTAGACAAAGCCTTGCTGACTTCCATCATCCAATCATGAGCAAGCAAAAATACAGGTTTTTTTTTTACATGTGAACATTTACATTTTTTTACATGTACATTTCCTACATGTGACTGGGTAGCCTTTCAAATTGAATTTTCTTTACTTTCATTAAGCTAAGGAATAATGCCCCTGCAAAGTGAACAATCTATTTATCTTTAGTAAAACACCCCAGTGTATCATAGCATTTTCCAATCCAGTTCTCCTCTACACTGAAGCACTGAATCAGACAAGCAGTCTTATTAAAAAAATCGATGGGGGGGGGGGGGGGGCATGTGAATGATAGTTAAATCAGCACTGATTTGGCAAACATTTTCATTTTCATTACCTACTCATTCATTTTGTATACCAAGAAAGTTAATTCAGGACTCTCATGCCCTTCAAAATAGAAAACAGATAGTTGCCTCCTATACGGCCAAAAAGACCAGATCAATCAGATCCAAATTCTACTGCCAACTTTATTCTAGTGTGACACAGGTTATATTAATCTCTTTCAACTGAGAGTTTTGACCACTTGTTCCCAGCACAGTCTGAGCTGCTAATGAGATGATTGTAAATACATAGCTAAATCTACTATGTAGCCATAGTTTCAAAGGGACAAATGGCTAAAATTAAAAAATGTCTGATAGATTTAATGTTGTCCAGTGATTAGTGGAACCGACTAGGTGAAAATGTATGGCGATTATTGTCTCTTTTACATACAGACCATATGAAGCTACAATTTGCTTAAAGTGACACTAAAGGTTAAATTTTGTGTCTTAAAATAAAAAAGATGTTAGGCTTACCTACTCTTTGGTCGTCCCCTGTTGGCGTTGTTCGCTCTTTCTTCCACTGTGTGTCCCCTTAGCATGCTGGGTGTTAAGGGGGCAGGAAGTGATGAAAGCAGTGCTACAGCTGGAACAGAGCTGGATTGGTGAGAGGAGTCATATAAGTGATTAGGGATGGGGGGGGGGGGAGAAAAAGTAGTTGGTTATTTTTACCTTAATGCAAGGAATGCATTAAAGTAAAAAAAAAAAACACATAAACATTTAAACTACTTTACAGTGGTATTAAAACCAAAAATTTTATATAGTGCAAGCTGGGTGCTAAGAGGGCACCCATGCGTGCACACTCCTGAGCTGGACCGTTTGTAGCAAGAGCCTATTGGCATTGCCCTCATCTCACTTTTCGATGTCGCAGGAGAGACTAAGTGGTGCTGCAGAAAGGACAGCACTGGATAAGTGAGAGGAGTCAAGTAAGTGTTTAAGGATGGGGTGTGGAGCATAGGTAGAGGGGAGTTCTTTACCTTAAAGCAGTATTAAACCCAAAATGAAAATTGTATTATATTGCAGCTAACTAATTATTAGATGTGGTGGAGGCATCAGTTTTCTTTTCTTTGTTTTATGTCCCTCTGTTTTCACCTGGTGATCTGACCAGTAATACACCTCCTGTATTAGTGAAACACAACACTGGATGAATCATATAGGAGGCATAGCAGACAGCACAGTTTTCAGTCTGGCGGAAGGGGTGTGTGATGGAACGCGGTGCCTGACCCATGCCCTTCTCACCAATTCATGACAAAGAACCAGCCAATCTCGCACCATGCTGTCACTTGCGTAACAATGCCACTCTCAGCTGCACTTTGCACAAAGATTTTCCAGCTTGCAGGACCACAATCTCTGTGCCAGAAGCCTGAGAGCGATTGTTACTGGGTTACATTAATTACGCAATTAACCCTTCACACTGCCACCGCCGCCTTTTTACAGAGAAGGAGTAAACTCACAAATTCTAGCAATAACACTATGATTTTAGCATAAGCATCTGCAACACACACTGTCAACACAGACAGGTATATTCAGAGGATTATTACATACAGTAGCACTCTTCAAGAGACAGGGATTCTTTGCATTAAAAGCTTTAGAGACAGTTTCAACACTTTTTCAAAATAGGGTTTATTGCTAAAAAGGTAAAAATGGAGCAATTAAAATATTTACAGAAAAAGATGTTAAAAGAGAACAATAATGCAACAGAGAAATAAAAGAATGGAGTTAAGAAGGCAGAATACTTGCAAAGTTCTGGTTTAGCAGGGTTCAATATTGCCTTGGCTCTCAAGTCTGTTAAGATGTTACTTGATTCATGTTAAACGAGAGCTCCCCTTCCCAAGGCCTGTCAGTCCTTTTCTTTGATATCAGAGGGGTGTCGCCTGAGAACAACTGACCAATCATCCTGTTAAGGGAATGAGAGCTAGGAGGTCATCAAATTTATGACCAAGTCCCAACTACAGTGTCATACTAATATTAATAACTTCCAGTATGTGCAGGTGGTATTCTAGCAACTGGCAGATTAATATTCAGAATTATAGTTCAAACCCAGGGATACCAAACACAGTGTACCTTTGTCACCCAGGAGGGAAGAGACTGCTTTCTCCCCTTTCCTATGTGCCAACATAGTCATGTAGGACCTTGATTTGTTTGGTAGGATATTCTGTATTCAAATATATACCTAATATTAATGTGCCCTGTTCCTGTTGAATTCCATGAATTGTATGCGGAATTGTTACAGGTGGAATAGACGTTTTATGGCACTCTCTGCATTCC